CTCAGCTGAGCAGAGTTAAACTGGATTCTTGCATATGACTGTAGCCCACCCTGAAAATAGTAACTATTCCGGTTTTTCCACAATAGCAACACGTACCTACAAAGAGGGTACTGTCAATAATCCGACTATGTCCCGTTATGTAATGCACCATCCAGTCATCGAAATTAGTTTCGAAGAAGTCTTTGTCCGGCTCATCTTGAAGGAGTTCAGACCATGTTGCTCGAGCAAATGGGCAATCTCGAAGTACGTGGATCATCGTCTCAGGTCCGGCTACGCATATTTTGCATCCATCATCTGCAGTAAGGTGTCTACGTCGTCGTTCGGCATTGGTTAGTAGCCGTTGATGGCCGCCAACCATAGGAATGTGCGCATCCTTTGGAGTGCAGGCAACTTCCAGATAGCTCCCCAGCGAGGGTGTCTCTCCATATGGCTCTCGTCTTCTACCCCTGTGAGGTCGTATGTCGTGTGAAAGGTGAATTGACCATCGGTTGAGAGACGCCAGCATCGTTCGTCCTCCGTTTAATCCGTAGGTACCGGCTGCGTAAAAACCTGCGAAGCAACATCAAGGGGTAAAAAATAGTTTATGTAATCTCGATTCCACTCACCATTAAGAACGAACTCGGCGACAGGCAGTTCCAGAGCTGCTGGCGGAACATTAGGAGCAAAGTGAGATAGAGGCTCTCCATCATTCAGCCAACGATCTCTCCAAAATCGCGCACGATTTCCACTCCGGACATTCCAAATAGTAGCCTCCTCTATCCGATGCCAAACGCGTAAGACTCCTCTCCACAAATTTGACATACGCCCATTCCTCCTTGGGATAAGCCCTATGGTCGTTTTAGTGGTATACTTGTGCAGTATCACCCTTGTCCATAACTCTCCAGGATTAGTGATAAGTCTCCAAGCAATTTTCATCATGTATGCTTCATTCGACCTTATCGCCGTACGTAAGCCCAGACCTCCCTCTTCCATAGGTCGACAAACCGTGTCCCAATCAACCAAATGAACTTTCCTTCCTCCCTCCGTACTCCCCCAAACAAACGCTCGAATTTTCTTATCAATGTAGTCCTGAACGCTTGCAGGTAAGTAGGAAGTCTGCATAGTTTAGGACGGGAGAGAGGATAAAACCGATAGAGCAAGGGTAACTCTCGCCGCCAGACTCATGGTATTGGCCTTCCATCCTGCAAGTCTAGCATCAATCCTGTCAATGAGCTCGTTATAGGTAGTTTTAGAAACCCGATCATGGATGACTGGAACTCCCAAGTAGCAGCCTAGATTCTCCATCTGTGGGATCCCCAACTCTGTACTTAACTCAACCCTACAAGTAGTGCTGACATTGCTGGAGAGAAAAAACTCTAGACTTAGGCTTGCTTATTTTCTGACCCGATGCCGTTCCAAATGTGTCAAAGCATTGCGCAATAGTTTGGGCTTGCCGGCTCAAAGCCTCGTCGAACAGAATGAGGTCATCTGCAAAAAAGATGTGAGAGAGGGTTGGTCCAGTTCTGGTCAGTCTAATAGGCTGCCAATGGCCTTCCCTCACTGAAGCATTGATTAGATGGCTTAATCACTCCATACATAACGTAAAGATGTAAGGTGAGAGAGGAAATCCCTGTCTAAGGCCACGCGAGGGTGAGAAAGGGCTTGTGAGGCCTCCGTTCCACTGAATCTGCATGGTAGCTGAGGTAACTGCGACATGGTAACTGCGACAAAGTGTCTCGAACAAAGTCCCAGCGGATCCGGTCATGAGCTTTGGCCAAATCAATTTTAAACACCATCCAACCCCGCCTTCCCTTTTTGGCACGCATGGAGTGGACTACTTCCTGCAGGATGCAGATGTTATCAGTAATATGCCTACCTGGCACAAAGCTAGTTTGTGTTTCATGGACCAGACGAGGCATAAGTGGCTTCAATCTTTCTGCAAGACACTTTGTCAAAGCCTTATATGCCATATTGCATAGGGTAATCGGTCGAAGTTGCTCGATCAGAGTGGGCACCGTGGCCTTCGGGATTAGGACTAGAATTGTGGAATTGATGGTATGAATCTTGTTCGGATCCTCCCAGTAGTCCTTAGCCAGCTTTCCCATGGAATCCCCCACCGTCGCCCAATACCTCTGAAAGAACAAAGGATTCAGACCATCCTTCCCGGGATACTTCTAGCTCCCATTGATTTGATGGCCTGGAGCACTTCCTCTGGCAAGGGAGGTAGGGCCAGACGTTTCCACCTCGCACTGTCAATGACCGGGAAGTCACGATCCAGGATTCGGGTAGCCTCGTTATCATCTGTGTAAAGACTCTGGAAAAAATGCTTAGCCAATTGTAGTAGGCCTTCAGGAGCATCCACCCCTTCCCCATCAGCATTCTTTAAAGAGAGAATTCTATTTTTCTTCCGACGCTGTAAGGTCCTCCGGTGAAAGTAGGAAGTATTCCTATCTCCTGAAGCAATCCATTCCAGTCTTGATTTCTGAAGCCAAATGAGTTCTTCTTGGTATAGGATCACTTCGAGCTCCTCCCTAATATCCTCTTGTTGGGACGAGAGCCCCAAACTTCCATCTCTTTGTTAAAGAACTTCAAGTCTTCTCATAAGAGCATCCTTCTTCATTTGGATATTGCATAACACATGGTAGTTCCAAAGGGTAGCATTCCTTGCAAAAGCCTCAGCCGAAGGGTTAAACGATGATCCCTTAGCCCAAGCCTCTTGTAACAAGGGAAGAAATTCACCGTGAGTTAACCATGCCGCAAGGAAACGAAAGGGTTTAGGACCCGCAGGCTGGTGCTCGGAGTGGGTTGAGAGTAGTATCGGGCGGTGATCGGATTTTACCCGGGGAAAATGTCGCACCGACGTCTCCGGGAAGATAGAGAACCAGTTAGAGTTTCCTAGTGCTCTATCTAATCTTTCCCGGATGCCGTTCCTGAACCCAGTGAACTTAGGCCCATTAAATCCCAAATCCATAAGTCCCGAATCATGGATGCAGTCCTGAAAGTCCTGAATACGGCTAGCGTCAAACGTTTCCCCACCCAACTTTTCAAACAGGTGCAAGTTGGAGTTGAAATCGCCCGCTAACACCCATGGCTGGTTTTGATCTTCCGCAAGAGAAACTACAGCTTCCCACAAGGCTCTACGCTGCATGGGGGCTGGGTTTGCGTAGACAGCGGTGAGTTGCCACGATGTGCCCTGAGCACCTAAGTTAGTAATCTGCAAATGAAGATACTGGGCGTGAGTATCAAGCTGAGTAATAGTGAGGTCACTAGAGTTCCAAAGAAGCCAAATTTCCCCTGATAATCCTGTGGCCTCAACAACAAGCTTACTATCATATCCAATAACCCCAATAACATCTCTAGCAGTGTCCCCACTAATACGCGGTTCCACGATGATGACTATATGAGGTTTATGCTTTTTCTTGTATTCATTAAACACACGAGTAAACCTACGACTTCCCGCACCCCGACAATTCCAAATAAATATTTTGTAATTCATCATAAAAAATCAGAGGTTGACAAGAGGAAGCACTCCCTGTTATTAATCGCAAGAGGCTGCGGGCTTCACGCTCTCTCCCAACACGTCTGGTATCTCAAGTTGTGAAATGTCTCCCGCCCCCCACTGCAGCTTTCCGTCCCCCGGGTTTAGTGGGTGTCCCTGGTCGGCTGAGAGCAACAAATGATCACTCACATCCTTTTCATTGGTAGGTTGGGGCGACTCGTTATGGACATGGGTCATCTCTAACTCATGAGTGGAGGCGGGAGTTGTCTGAGAGGTGAAGGTCACAGGAAATGAGTTCCCATTATTGCCTTCGTCGTTCATGGTAGATGGTGGTGGCTGCGGGTAGCTCTTCTTGTGAGACTTGGACACTACTTGGGACTTCTCAACCACAGTCAGTGGGCTAGTATGAGACGTCATGCCATTCTTTAAGATTACCCCCATCTCGGTAGTTACTGCAGTGGTCTCTGGGCTCTCAGCCGCCACTCCGTGGGATTGATCCAAAGACATAGCAATAGGGACATCATCCGTAACTGGGAATTCATGGGCCAAATTCTCCAATTGTTGCTTCTGTTTTTTCTCTATGGTAACTTCGGCTGGCCGTAAATGTAGGCGTTTGTTGGTATCTCCCCTCATAGAACCTTGAATTTTTTGGGTGAGACTAATGTTACGGCCCTTATTGGTGCCAGTCCGAGGCTTACCTTGTAGAAAAGGGTTAGGGAACAAAGAGGAGGGATGATTAATGCTGGAGAATTCAAAAGTAGAGGTTTGCGGATAAATAGCTTTGGAGGATGACATAAAATCTGAGGCATTAGAATTTTAAGCCATGCCGTCAACAAGCCCAAGCTTATTTGAAGGTGGTGGAATGGTGTTATTGGTTTTGGTAGCAGATAGAAGATGAGAGAGTTGGGCGGATGGGCTTTGGGTTAATGTGGGGCATGAGTGATTTTGACTCAAAGGTATATTTTGGGCTCGTGGGTTTTGTGAATGGAGGAGGCCCATTAGGTCACTATTTTGGTGGTGCAGTGTGTACGTGTGAGGGAAGAGGTGGATGCCCCATCTATCTTCTTTTTCCCATCTTCAATCTTCCTCCCATCTTCTTTTGGCAGATATCCAACTTTCCCCTTTTTTTTTATCAGTGTGAGTGAGAGAGAGAGAGAGAGAGAGAGAGCTCCCCTCCTGCGTGAGGATCCATACCAAAATCAATGCCCTGATTTACTCTCAATCCTAGCCCATCTCGATCTCCATTCCCTGTCGCCGTCTATTGATTGCGTGATTTATGTTGATCGAGACTCTGATTTTCTGACCCTACTCTAACAACATTGAATGCAGTTTGTCGGTCATCGACGGTGCTCGACTTCTCCGGAGTTAGATGGTCGGCGGTCTTCTTTGCTGGGCAGTCTCGTGGCCTAGTGGTCGCTTGACGGCGTGGACAACGCTGGACTAGCATCCAGGGGCCGTACGAGGACTCCGCGTTGGCTGATTCAGACCCTGGCTCCGGTTGTTCAGACGCAGGTTCGACTGGTTAGGACGACGAAGATCTTGATGGTGCAGGGGGCGTGGATGGCTTTGGGGTAGTTGAAGCAGTAGGAGGCGGCGGTGGTGGTGCAGAGGAGAAATCGACTGCTTTGTGGCCTATGCGTCCACAACTGAAGAAAACAAGAGGTAGATTTTCGTACAAAATATCTTGATCCACCCCATCTAGCTTGAACTGGGTTCTAAGGGGTTGGGAAAGATCCAACTCTACTACTATACGAGCAAAACGTGCTCGTTGCATAGATTCACTGTGGTAGTCTATTTTGATTAGACGACCTAGTGCATTACCTATTGAGGTGAGGATTTGAGAATGGTAATACTGAATTGGCATTGCAGGAAAGAGGATCCATACGATCATTGATGATGGGAGTGTGTTCGAAGCTCTGAATCGGGGTGTCCATCGATGAACTATCAAGTAGTGGTCGAGAATCGTCAATGGGCCTTCTGTAAGTGATCTTGAGTAATCTTCAATGTTTGCGAACTTGACCATGAACCAGTCATGTTCAAGTGCATACACTTGGAGGGTGCCCGTCATCTTTCATATTGTCTTCAGCCGATTTGTGAGGTAATTGTAGCCTATCTTTTTCCCCACCAACTTGATGACTACAGAGTTTGTCCATGGATAGCATACATAATTCCATAATGTTGGCGAGACACGAAAGTTAAGCATACCACTCTCTGTGGTGACGAAGATGTCCGCTGAACTGAAACTTGTCTCTTGTGTTTGAGCTGGTGTTGCAGGTGTTTTCCCCATCTCAAGAACATGTTTGTACGAGATTGGAGATGGACTGTGGACTGCCCTTGAGGTTGTATCGGTCTCCATCATGACAACAGGCGATGCATCCATGAATGTGGTGGGTGGCTGCTGCATTTTAGTTGCCTTCAGCAGGTAATCCGGAGGTCTCCCAGAGGGTGGAATAGACCCTGAGTGATGAAATTCTTGTTGCATTAGCTGCGTCTTGCAAGGCCGACATGTGGAAAATTTGTTTACATAAATCTTGTGAATGTGGTCGATAATGCTTTTCTTCTTTCATCATATGAAGATGGAGCTCTATTGGGACTTTTGAGTTTTCTTTCTTTATGGTTGGGGGTTGGAGGATTAATTTCCTAAATATTATTTCTATTTTTTATTTACCACGAATATGATGATTTAAAAACTATTGACACATATATTATGTTTTTTGGTAGGTTGAAAGCTCTCATGCCCGAGACTCAGGCGCGGCCGCTAGGTGTTGGTTTTTCGATAAAACCCAGCGACGGCTCCCGAGACGGGGACTTTGGCGCTTGATATAAAGCGAAAGCGGCGGCGCCCCAGTCTGAGGCTTGGTCGCTGCCTTCTTCTTCCACTCTAGCACCACTCCAACATAATATATACTCCACCTTTCCTTCGGTTCTTCACCACCAAAAAACTGAAAGAAGTTCCGAAAGAAGCTCTGGTGTTGCTGTCTGGTTGCTGGGAAGATGGCTAATAATAGGTAAGAGACGTATTTTTTTTAATGTATTCTTCAAATGCTATAATGATTTTGTCCAGTTAGTAATTAGTGAATTTGTTTTTTATGTAGTGGTTTTAGAAGATTTGAACTAGCTGTTCGGTGGAAATCAGAGAAAGTAGAGGACAATTTGGGTGTCCATTTCGTTGGTGGTCTAAGTTTTCAGATGACTATTCCATCTAGGGTGAACTATCAGAAACTTTGTGATAATCTAATTCGGAGAATACGGCGTAGAGACGAAGCAGTAGAAGATAGTGTTGTGATTACAGGTTTCACTTACTGTCTTCCAGAATGGCAGAATGGTGTTTTATTTCATTATGCGATGCCTATTGTCGATGATGATAGCTTGAATATGCTTTGGAATTTTATGGCACAAAACCCTTATTGTTTGGGTGCTGAGATACATGCTGAGCTCAGTGAGGATCGGGGTGGAGAGGAAGAAGATGACACATGGAGCATGCCATCTGATCATGACTATGATGACGGTGATGACGGAGAAGAGGAAGATAATGATGAGGAGGAGGAGGAGGAGGAGGACGGCGACGGGGAGGAAGGAGAACAACCTAATTATCCTCCATATTTTTACTTGCAGGGTAATGAAGAGGACGATGAATTATCATATGTTGATTCATATGGCGTAATTCCAATGCCTATTGTTGGTGGTTTTGATGGAGAATTCTACAAGGGGCAAATATTTCACTCGAAACAAGCTGCACAGGTGGCGATTAAACACTACGCACTACAACGCAACTTTCAGTATAACGTGGTGGAGTCGTCACCTTCAATCTGGAAGATCAGATGTTTGATGCACAAGGAGGACAACTGTCCTTGGATGATGCGGTTTGGATGTCGAGATGTGGGGGGCGATTGGACTATGAGAAAGGCCGAGTTGGTGCATACTTGTAACAATACGACTCAACCGACGGATCATCGCCATCTTGATGTCGACGTTATATATGAGTCCGTGAAACACTTAATTCTATTCGTAATTTAATTTAATTAAGATATATTCGTAATTCAATTTAATTCTATTCGTAATTTAATTAAATTCTATTCGTAATTTAATTTAATTTAATTCTATTCTAATTTCAGTTGAGTTCAGCTAATAAAAAAGCTATAGAAATAGTTTGAAAACTTACCTCGTTTGTCCAAACTGCGTCAATACGATGGTGATCATGCACCCAAAGAAGTTCTGGATCCACCGGAGCTGTATCAATTGTCGCAGGTGTGGTCTCATCGAACAAGGGTCCATAAGCCTAGGAACTGGAAAAAAAATTAATTAGAACAAAAACAAATTAAGAAAAAACTTGTCGCCGATGGCTAGAATCCGGCCACCGCCAAACTTACCCCTGTAGCGGTCGTGGTCGCCGCCGCCACGACGCCATCGCCTCCCTATGCCCCTTCCTCTGCCGGGGCCGGCCTGCTCGTCGTCGGACATGGCTGCTCGCGGGGGAGATACCAGATCTGCGCGGGTAAGAGGAGAGCGACGCCGCTCTGGACAAGGCGCCTTCGTTGGGATGCTGGCGCCGTCGCCTGGGTCTGAGGCGTGGCCCTCCTTCTTCTCGGCGCTACCATCCTGTCGGTGTTGGGTTGGGGTTGGGGGTGAGGGTGAGGGACTCTCGAGTCTCGACTGCGGGCTGGTGTGTGGTGAGGAAGAGACGACGAGTGAGGAAGAAGATAAGAAGAAAAAGGAAGGGATTGACGACGCCTGAGTCTAAGGCGTTGGCGCTATTTAAGTTTTCGAAAACTTTCAAATAGCGCCAGGGCCTGAGTCTCGGCGGGCGTGCTGTCAAGTTGTTGTAAAAAAACATAAATTGCGCCCACGCCTGAGTCTCGGGCTTGGACGCTTTTAACCTGCCAAAAAACACAATATATGTGTCAATAGTTTTTAAACCGCCATATTAGTGGTAAATTTAAAAAAAAAACACAATATTTGTGTCATTTACCCTTGGAAAAGGTGGAGGGAAATGAAGGGAGCTGGATAGGTAGAGCTAAAGATGGAATCTGTGGCTGAGGGGTTTTTGCCAGAAATGGTAAAAAATTTCAGAAACCATCAAAAAATGAAAGCCTCCGCGAGAGATCAGAGCTTTGCACGAACATGAAAATTTTCCCTCTGCAATTTCTTCCTCTTTGTCGATAATTAAGTTTTATAATTAATTAATTTTTTTAAATAATTAATATGATAAATCATATAGAAAAGTGAAGTGGAATAATGAAGTGGAAAAATAAATAATTTTTATTAATTTCCACATCATCTAGTTAACGGTCAAACTTTATAGTTGACTGCCACGTAGGACAAATTTAACAGAGTGTAACGGCCGGTGACTAACTGTGAAACGATTCATAAAATTAGTGGCGAATCAGAAAGAAAAGTAATTTGAGTAGCAAACATGAAAGATTTGTATAATTTGAGTAACCAAACATGTAATTTAGCCTTGTACAAAGAGACTAAGATAATTAAGAAAGCAAAGAACTCCATGTGTATAGGGGGAAAAACAGCCAAGCCTTAGGTGTATAGGTGGCAATTGGATCGGATTCGTGGATTGGATTGGTGGATCCATGGATCAAATGGATTGGTGGATTCATGGATTGGATCCAATGGATTGGTGGATTGATCCATGAATCCAAATGACATCCAAGGTTTGGACAAAAATGTAAATTTTGAAAAGTTTAGGTACTAAAATGTCATAATGAAAAATTTTAGGTACCAAAATGTAATTTTCCAATGATTTTTTCGTATAAAAATATAAATTTTAGGTACCAAAATATAAAATATAAAAAATATAGGTACCAAATCATAATTTGTCATTTGGATCCATGGATTGATCCATGAATCCACCAATCCAATTGGATTTGGATCAAATGTATTGGATTTAAATGGATTGGATTAAGTGGATAATTTGGTGGATGGATTGAATTGGGTTCATGTATTTGGATCCTAATTACCACCTCTACTTAGGTGTATCCATGAGGCCTAGCTAGCTAGAATTTATCAAGAAATCATAAACTAAAAACACTAAATAACCAACGAGAGGATATACATAGATCTCATGCATCGTGTTATTAGACTGCCATATGCATGGATTAACTATTAAGTACGAGATACTCGAACCTGAAAAGACTCCAAGAAGGCAAGAACTCCATTATTATGGTCGCAATTAATTATTGCAACATGTAAATTATTAGATACAAAACATGCCAATCAACTTTGGGCAGAAAAGATTCAACTAATTAAGCGGGTTCCCAATTGGGCTTGCAATTTGCATACACCCAGGACATGGGGATGTTCCTCTTTAATTCCCTTGTTTTTGTTCTTAACAATAGCATAATTTCATTTTTAGTATTATCATACCATCTTTCAACATTATTTCGGGATGAGTTGTATTCTTCTTTGATCAATAGACTAATACTTTGCACGGTAAGTCGGTAACTAGCTAAATCACCTTATTATTTGCGGGAATATAATGCTAACCAAATTTGTCGTATGTCTCTCTTACGTGGCTGCACCTACATTATAGCAATTTGGTGATGAAATGATCGTCACATCCAACTGACAGAGGATTACGGCCGTATATTCTTATTACGGCCGTATATCCAACAGACGAAATGCCACCAAAATCCATTTTAGTCAGTGACCATCATCACAAATTAATCATCAGTACCTGGAGTGAAGTATATTCTTATGTGGTGAATTAACCTTGTTAGAACTTGATATGGCAAGCTTTCTTTTTATTTTTGAGGGAAAGAACCCGAAGTCCGACCTTTTCAAACCTTTTTTGATGGTATTCTTCAAATTAATATAGGGACTAATTTGCAAGTTGCATTACTTTAGGTACCTGAATCTAAGAGTGATGGGAAGAGATAGAGA